ATCCCTTATTCCCTACATTATGCCTGGGACAAGTTGGCTAGTGAGGATGGTATGAATATGTAGTGGGGAAAAGGGGAAAAGAGAAAAATAAAGGAGTAGGAGAAGGGAGCTCCTATTTTAAGTGGTCATTTAAGTGGGGTTTTTTTTCCCATAACCAAAAACATCTCTTCCCTTCCCCCACCATGCTCCCACTCAGCTTCACTCAGGTGAAGGACCTCTTAGACTCACTCAAGCCTTTCACCGAATGCTGTCCAACATTCTCCTCAGAGTTACCTGCCTCTTTGGGACTCGAGGTACACAGAACCTGAGACTTTTTGCCAGCATGTGTACTAAATGAGGGAAAATGCCTCCTATCATTTGTCAGGTGAATATGTCACAGACTATCTATTCCCAAAATTTCCTTCCCACTAAGACTACTTGGTGCTATATATTCTTATTTTTATTGGGAGTGGGTAATGAAGGAACGAGTAAGGGAGGTGTTTAATGAATGCATGACCCTTTTATTAGGGTTCTAAGTCAGTAGTATTACCTAGAATCTTTCTTAAATTGAATGTAAATTTTTTTAAATGTTTCTAAACACTCCTGTTGGTCATACTTTAGAGAGGCAGCAAAATAACTGAAAAGTTTTTTCCTTCTAAGATAAATAAAAGCAGGTAATCTGTTCTTACCTTTTGTTCAGATAGCAGGCTTCAGGTGATCAATGACCTCCATCAGAGTTTAGCCAGATTATTATTCTGTTAGGACAACATAATACATTTACCTCATTAATCAGACCTCCATTTCCACAGCTTCCAAGTCAAACTGTGATTGTTTTAAAAAACAAAAACAAAAGCTATTCCCCCTTATAACCCAAGGGAGGAAGGGAATCTCTCTGGCCTAGGGGTGGGGGAGGGGAGTCCTCTCCTTCCTTTGCAGAGTCCTAAATTCACTTCTAAGTGTTACATAGCTGATAGATGAGTTGATCCCCTCCAGAATATAGAGTCTTGACCACAAGTCACATCAGTGTTGGCCTGCATCAGGTAGGTTACTCCTCAGGGCAGAGTCCTCTCCAGATTCTGCTATTGCTACAATAGGCTGTGATTGATGAGCTGACGTTTTTTATTCTTCTGAGCTTTTTTTTTTTTGGTGAGGCAATTGGGGTTAAGTGACTTGCCCAGGGTCACACAGCTAGTAAGTGTCATATGTCTGAGGCCAGATTTGAACTCAGGTGCTCCTGTCTCTAAGGCCAGAGCTCTTTCCACTGCACCACCTAGCTGCATTCTTCTGACCTTTTAAAGCTCACAAGATCATAACCTAGTCTGTTGCCTCATTGATATTCATTCACTTTTCTAAAAAATTTATTCTGAATTTAAGAAATAAAACCAGCATTTCCACAATGTAATAGGAAAAAGATGATTGTACATGAAGCTGCAAATCTATTATGTACAATTTACTATTCCTTTTAAACATAATAGAGTGTTCAGGTAACTTTCTCTTTTTTTCCTTTTTTTCTCCCCCTCTGTACCGTAGAGATGGCTATCATTAGACACAAATATCTGTGTGTGTACATGATATATATGTATGTGTAAAACCATTCTATACCTACTTGTATTTATCCATTCTTTTTTCTGGATGCAGATAGTTTCTTCCTTCATATGTCCTTTGTAGTAAATTTGAGTATTTATAATAGTTATAATGACTTAGCTAAAAGATTACAAAAATATATTACAAAGATTATACATTATGACCAACCAGGATTTATACCAGGAATGCAGGGATGGTTTAACATTCACTTTTGATAAGGAAAGAGTAAATGTAAAGGAAAAAAAAAAGAACAGAGACCCTGTTCATTCATAGCTACATGGCAGCTATCTCTTCATTGACCTGGAGGCCTTCAACATTTCTTCCTCCTCACTTGAAAGCTTCCAGAGAAGAGAGTTGAGACTCAAGTATGCAAACTCAGGTTAGTCTCAGCAGCCAATCATGAAGCTTCCGTGTAGATATTGCATGTGTTCTGAGGACCCAACCCTAAGGGCCCAGTTCCCTCTATTATACAATATGGTAGAGCATCCAGAGCATATATTAATACAACAGTTAAATAACTATGAAAAGCCAAATTAGTGGCATAGACAATAATCAGTGTAGGCTATAACACCATAAAACCTGCCCTTCACTTTTCCATCTTTTACTTGAGGGGAATATTCTGTGGTGGCTCTATGTTTAAGCAATTTTTCTTTTGCAAACCAGGATCCTAGAAAGCGGTTCTTTTGGGAAGTAGAAAATCTCATTGGCTGTCTAGTAAAAAGAACTACGTTCAGATCCCACTTCTGCCTCTTACTAGCTATATAATCTTGGACAAATCATCTTGTTTCTCTGGGATTCAGTTTCCCTTTCTATAAAATAAGGAGGTTGATAATGAGATTCCCTGGGGATCTTCCACCTCTAAATCTATGAGCCTAAAAGAATCAACTTGAGTACAGAGGTAGGTATAATAGGTAGCTAGTCCAGGGCAAAAAAGTTATTCATTGCCCTTAGAGTTTGTCTCTTATTTTAGCTCTGCCTATGAGCTGAGTATCTGCCATGAGATATTGGCCTGAAAAGGAGTCCAAGAGTGGTGGGAGCAACATGTGACTTCACAACTCAAGAAAAGAGAATATGGAGAATTAGCTTACGTGATTTTAGGCAACATGGCTGAGAGAGGGACTAGGGCCCTCATGTCAGTTTTGAGCAAGAATTAGAAAAGCCAAAATTTCACCAAAAGGGCAGAGCAGCTGTTAACTTGTATCTTATAAATGTGCTTCTGGTCCAAGCCTGTGACTGTTACATTCAAAGCTAGGTTATCAAAGTAGATTACACAAGGGCTGAGACTTCAGCATTATAGAAATATTCCCAGATGTTATCTTTCTCTACCAGAAACTTTGAGTTTAATCCAGCATACAGACTAAGCCGGATTGGAATAGCCAAGACCTAAAACAACATTAGGAAGAAGACATTCACCTGGCAAGAGAAAGAGAACTAAAAAAGATCAAATCCATACACATACATATGTGTAGAAGACTAGGCTTCCAATGTAAAGCTTTATTGTGAATGTAAAACCCTTTCCTGTTGCGAACCTTTTCCCCTATGCCAGCTTCCCTTTGGCTTATTAGTAATACCTTCAGGGAAGCAGATGAGGATCTAATTTTGTTTAGATTTCCTAATCCAAAGTTCCTTCTGCCACTTTAAAAAGTCAGTCAGAAACGTCATTATCATTAGATAATTCTAAAACAAATTATCATCCAAGGTAATATGTCTAAATGATTGAAATTGAAGTTATTTTTTCCTCATAGCTTCTAGATTGATTACATTGTGTGTTTTATTATGCCACAATGTGCACAGCATTACATATGTTTTTTGTCACCATAATATATAGCCTCTAATGCAGATGTTACTTTTATTTCCCAGCTACAACTTTATAACCAGGTGATGGCATAGGCCTGACCATGTCATTGGTCAAAAATCTCCAGAGGTTACTTATTGCCCCAGGATAAAATATAAACACATCTTGCCTTTGCAATTGAGTTCCAACATGGCTCTCTAGACTTATTTCCTGTTCCTTCTCCCTTTATGCACTGTGCTTTTTAGCCAAATTTTCCTGTTAGCTATTTTTAACTTCAGATTCCATTTCCTTTTTCTCTGTCTGTTCACAAACTACCTTTCCCTGCTGTTGGCATACACTGTGTTCACTTCTGCCTCTCAGAAGCTTTGTCTTCAGGAGTCACTTCCTTATGTGGAGCTTTTCCTGATTCCTTCAGTAGTTATTGCTTTCCCTCTCCTCCAGTTAGCTTGCATTTAGTCATCTGTGTGAATTTCCTATTTTCCAGTAGAATTTAAATTTTTCCAATGCAAAGAATGCTTCATTTTTGTCTTCATATCCCCATTTTCTAGTGTGGAAGGACCTCGATATGCTTCCACATTAACATCCTTCCTGCCTCATAGGATAGGTGTTTAAATGTTTGTTGTTGCTATTAGTAAATGGATTCAAGCTTCCAAGAGTAGGTTCTATATATTTTGTTGTACATTATTCACATTTTTAAATATTGTTCATGATTCTATGGTTCTATACTTTTCATTTTTCTCCTAAGGACCTCTAAAAATATGAAAATATCTACAAATTATTTTGCTACTTTAATCACATAATTTTCCCTAATTGCAGAAATATAAATCTAGAGATCCACCTTTATTCTAAAATTAGGAAAACAGTCATTTTGGAGAATGCTTCATTATAATTGCCAATATATTATTCAGTTTCTTAGAAACAATGTGGTGTGGTTGAGAAAGGACTGGCCTTGAAGTCAAGAAGACCTTGGCTTTAGATACTGCCTCTGATTCTTACTAGCAGTGTGACCATGGACAAATCACTTAACCTCTGAGAAAATTGCTTGGAGTGATAGTAAGGCATAAGGAGCAGACCGCTTGCTGAAATCCCTCAGCATGCCATTGTGGAAAGAGTTTCCACATTCTTAAGTTCCCAAAATCTAGCTTCTGCCCTCCACGCCGAAATGCAGTCATGATTAGTACTATGACCACTTGTTCAGAGTGTGCAGATAAATACCAGTTTTGATTCATTTTTGCTACTTTAAAATGGATTAAATAATTTGACATTCTAAGAATTAATATTTTGAATGATTTTTTCTTTAGGATTATTTCTTTGCCACCACAGTAATACATTTTCTCTGCCTTGTCTGTGACATAACCATGACTAAGATATAAAATGTAAATGACAGGAACTAAGGCAGCACCTGTAATTATAGTATATTTTTTGAACTGCTGAGGTTGAAATGTTAAGTTACTGATTATTGAGAGTCTAAAAGTTGTACCAGCTGCTGTACTTGCCATAATGAGTACCACTAACTTTCCATTTTTCCCCCTTTAAAATTTGTATTTTCTCCTTGCAAATTTTTGGAAACAAATATTTTATTGTTAACTTTTTAAAAGATGCAAATTACATACTCTCTAAATCTGTAACTTCTAATTTTCAGGAATTCTTTGATCATGTAAAAAAGCTTTGGGATGACGAAGGAGTAAAGGCATGCTTCGAGAGGTCAAATGAATACCAACTGATTGACTGTGCACAGTAGTAAGTGTTTGTTTTTGTGAAATTTACATCTAAGAACCAATAAATTGTCAAACAACAGGAATTTTATAGAGTCTTTTATGTGTCAGTCAGAGAATGCAGACAAAAATGAAACAGTCTCTGCTCTCAAGGATTTTGTATTCTATCACATAAAACTAAATTGATTATTTATGATAATTAGGAGGAAGTAATCAAATATGTTAATCAAATATATTTTCTATTGTACTAGGTTTAAAAGATGCTTATTTTGTCAAGAGAAACTTTGTAAGTAACAATATAGGACAAACTTGAAACCAAGTTATAGGGTGAAAAATATCACAATGAAAAGACTTCTCTGTTGTGAAATTTAACTTCAGTGTTTTTCTCAGGTACATTTGATTTGAGACCAAGATAAATCGGTTGTAAAATAGTGCTACTAGGAAACATTATGGATATCTTTCACTGCACATAATTGTGAAATGTTGCATAGGATATTTCCTTTTCACTGAATAATCTTTCCACTATTGTGAGAATGTACTTTAGTTCTAATACTATTTTGTATCAAATGTTTTTGAGAAATAATTTATAAATCTAAATCACATTACTATCCATAAAGCAGTGTCTGTCCAATTGTGAAATACAAAATCTCCATTGTGTACTTTGAGACAGTTACCAAGGACTTTTCCCCAACCAGACCTTTGTCTGAAAAAGTCAAATGAATAATAAATGCATTGCCTTCAACAAATATTACTTGCAAATAATTTCCTAGCAAAATAGCATTATTTTGTCGAGAAAGGTGAGGCACTGCAAGGTATCAACAGGTTACAATTACATGCTTTATCTTATTACTACCTCTGTCATTAAAGAAAGCATAACAACAAAGATGCAAAAGACTACTGTGCTAAAAATGCTACATCTTTGGATGACGGTGAAAATGAAAGCCTATTTCAGGCCACAGAATGTTTTAATTTGTTCTCATTTCCCATCTAAAGAACACAAATAGTAAAAAAATAAATACAACCAGCAAGATTTTGTAGCTGCTTTGTAAATCACGACTGATTTTGGACAAGTAGGTTTCATGAGAACTTTTCTGTAAGCACTTTGTAGTTATTAATCTGTATTTAAGGCTCTTCTCAGAGTCATGTCAGATTAATACTCTCTACTCGAGTGCAAAGTAAAACTGAAGCAAGAGGTTGGATGGCTTACCGTTTAATGCCACACAGAGTTAGAAGAGAGGTTGAAATTGAAACTAGTCTTGGTAAACCCATCTTTTGCATACTCTGTAACTGTGCTTCCAGGTTAAAAATTTGCAAAGTAATTATTCCAAATCAAACTTGAACTCTGTTCTCCTTTCCCCAGTGTACTTTATTTTGCTCTACCTCTTGGTAAAAGGTTGTTCCTTGAAGTTACTTCCTTGGTACACCCCCAGAGAAACCAGAACTCCTTGAAGTAGCTGTAGTTCTAGTGGGCCTAAAGCCATGAGGTTGAATTTCTGGCACAAGAATACAGTCCTGAGCCAGGACCTACCTTGAAAATAAATATTGAATTATGTGTATGAAATGTTAAAAGAGGAAAAAAATCAAAGCAAAAATAGTAGTGAAAAAGTCCCTCAAACATACATAAATGTGCCATTTGTCTTCAGTTTTTGAAAGCTCCTTCTTCCCTCCTCCTAATCTCACATCACTCAGACATATTCCCCTACTATTGCTTCCTTCTTACCAATCTTGAATGAAGTGGTGGCCCCTCTCCTTGCCAAAGCAAGCCCTTTTATATGCACCTTTCGACCCATTCTCTCACATCTTTAGCTCACTATCCAACTGGCATCATCATTCCTTCTCTAATCTTTACTGTCTAGTTATCTATTGGTTCCTTCTCTGCTGTCTATGAAGTCCATGTTCCCCTAGTCTTTAAAAACCCTTGTTTATGCCAACCATCCCCACCACCTGTTGGCTATTAACACTTCTCTTTTTCTGAAGAAAACCATCTACACTTGTGCTTCCACCTTCTGTCTTCTCATTCATTTCTAAACCTTCTGCAATCTAGCTTCTAAACTCATTATTTAATTGAAACTGCTTTCCCTGCAGTTGTCGATTGTTTCTTAATTGCCAAGTCTAATGGCCTTTTCTCAATCTTCATCTTTTTTTTTTCATTTTTCCTCTTGGTCATCCAGACATGGGTGTCTTGTAGGCATCTCAAACTCAACAGTTCCAAACCCATAACCTCCTCATGCAAATCCTTCACTTTTTCCAACTTCGATATTATCACCATCATGATCCAGTTCACTCAATCTCACAACCTCTGTGTCATCCTTTAGTCCTTTACTCTTACTTACCCCGCCTATTCAAACTTTTGCATTGATCTTTGCATTGGTTGCCCCCCATGCATAATATTTTCTCCCTCCTCATCTCCAACACTTATCTTCCCAAGAATCAGCTGACCTATCTTTTGAGAGAGGTCTTTTCCAAATCCCACTGCTGTTAACAACTTCCCTACAAGTTTACGTTCCATATACTCTCTATATATTTTTTATGTTCACTATTACTTCTGTATTGTCTCCTCCATTAAAATGTGAGCTTCTTGAGAATAGACACAAAGTTTTGCCTTCCTTTGTTTTCTCAGATATTTTCTGTGCCATTTCCTGGAATGTACTAAGCATTACTTTTTCATTAATTTATAGATATTTGTTTCTAATTTAAGTCTCAGAATATAGGTTGTAAGTAAATGCAAAATTTGAAAATGAACAATCCAAAACAAATTTCATATCAATTTGTGTTGATTTCATATTTTACTCAAAATGAATCTATGATCTCAATGTGGTTATTCTCTCTAACAGTAAAGATCACAAACCACACATACCTACCTATCTTGGGTGACTCTTGTTCATATCCTCTCATTTAGTATCCTACCAACTGTAAAATACGTACTCTAGCAAATTGTGCTTTGTATCTTTATGTTTTTAATTAAATTTTTTCAAGATTAATACACATTAGTAAGGTTGAAGAAAATCATTAGCAAAATCAAACTACTCTTACCTACCCAATTTGGGGTGACCTTGATCCGATCAGCAAATCTCATGGTGGGATAGTCATTGTAACCACAAGAAGAATAAAGAAAATTTGAAGTTCTCCCTATGTAATCACAAGGAGATTAAGAGAAATTTTAAGTAGTATATAGATCACTTCCAAATTTTGCCCTATTCTTATAATTCATTCCCTTCTCATATCCCCTATTCAGAACACTTATCCTCAGTGATGATGATGATGATAAATCATATTTATATAGTGTTTTAATATTTATTTGCTTCATTTATATTTGTGATAAATATTTTATATTTATATTATTTATAAATAAATATTATATTATATTTATTGTTTATATATTCTGTATATACAGATAGCTCTTGCATTAGGCAAATTCAGCTTTATGTAAAAAATTCTGAAACACACCTGTGTTAACTTTACTGTACAGTACTGTGTGCTCTCTCTCCACTTTCACCCCTCAGTTTGACATTCATTGACCTCCCACTCTACCCTCAAAAAAAAACTTTTAAGAAAACCTTCCAAGTGAAAGCAGAAGATTGGAGGCTCAGAGAGACCACTGCCACCAGATAGGGGCTTTGCTTGAAACCTCTTCTCCAAAAGAGAGACCTTTCCCCTGCTCCATCTGCCTGCCCACCCATGTGTTCGTCTTCATTTCATCAGCAGCTGGGTACCACATGTCTTTCCTCAGCTTGCATGTCACCCATCCTCTCCTGTCTGTGTTCATGTCTGGTTCCCAGGCCTCCACGTGGCTAGCCCCAGCCCCTTGCATGTTCCTGCTCCTCCTGCTCTCACTTCTCTGTCCTAGCTCCCATGTGTCCTTGAACTCTGCTAGCCACCTTCCTCCATGGCACATGCTTTCCTCTCTTCCTCTTTCCCTCCTTTCCCCACATCCACTGGCAAATTCCCATTAAGTAAAAAGTGCTTTTCTTAGAGTTCTGCGAAAGGTATACTTATGGAAAGCAAGAACTGTCTGTAATCTAATTTAGTCTAAGAACAGGTAAGCTCTACTTGTACTATCCCCAGTGACAAGGGCAAAATAGTTGCCAAAATCAGTGGTTAGGAATGTAGAAAGAGACCCAGAATAATGTGTTCTCTCTGAAGCCAAGAGAAAAGAGATGGGAGGAATGGTGCAGTTAGTAGAGTCAGAAGGTAACAGGAAAGTGAGGGGGATTTTGTCTAAACCACTGAATTTCATGGCTAGTAGATGATTTAAGATCTTTGAGAAAGTGATTTCAGAAAATCGGAAGGAGCCAATTTACCAAGAATAAAAAACAGAGCATGTAGTAATAAAGGGCAGCTGGGTAGTACAGCGGATAGAGTGCCAAGCCTGGAGTCAGAAAAACTCAATTTCGTGAATTCAAATCTAGCTTCAGACACTAGCTGTGTGACCCTGAGCTTAACCCTCTTTGCCTCAGTTTCTTCATCTGTAAAAAATGAGCTGGAGAAAGAAATGGCAAATAATTCCAGTATCTTTGCCAAGAAAACCCCAAAGGGGGACATGAAGAGTTGGACATGACTGAATAATAACAGTGAGAAAGTAAAGACATTGGACAACTTTTTCAAAAGTTGAATAGTTAAAGAAAATAGAAAAAGAAAACTGTACCTAGATGACTTCCTTTCTAAATTTAAGAGACTGCTCTGTTAGGTTTGGGGAGACCTAAGAATATTTGTTGAAGAATAAGAATCCATCAAAGAGGAGATGTTAAAGTTGCATAAGACAGAGGACATTGCTGGAGAGAATGAGGTCAAAGGTTCAGGTTGAAGGGTTAATGCTGCTAAATTTTTTTGAGGAATGGAGAAGAGACGACAAAGTTCAAGTCTGATCTTTTCTATGATCTAGGAGAATGAATAACTTTAGGAAATTTAGAGTATCATTAATGTTAAGTAAAAAGAAGAAAGGATTTGGAACAATTGTTGGGGGAAATGAGATCAGGAATTAATAATGGCATAGTAGAATTGTCACACAGTAGTGATGTCCCAGGT